GGAGATTCTGGCCTATATATCTCCTCCTGTGTTGGGCCCCTGAGGGTCCCCGCAGCTCCGCCCAAGTCAGCTGTGGCGGGGCCTTGGGGTTAGGCTCTCTAGCTCCGCCCAAGTCAGTCAGAGTGGGGAAGTAAGACTACAGTTTTAACCAGATACTGAACTAGGTTGCAAGCCCCTCCTCCCCCATTTTCCTTTTCAGTAAAATCCACACAACATCTAGCACTTCAACATTTTCCTTTTGTATTTTTAAACATTGTCAATACTAATCTATTACAAATCTATTTGTATAAGTTACCAGCTGTGATAAAATATAATTTCATTTGCTTCCTTATCTAGGCCATATTATTTGGAATGGCTAGCAGTTCTCTTACTATTCTAATGGCAAATAGATGTGTGAACCTGACTATGTATTTATTGGTGAAAAACTCCACACTCCAGATATGTCTCGTTTATCTCAGTGGTGCTTGCATGAGTATTATAGTTTTTGGAACTTTGATAAACAGAGTATAGTATTTATGACTCCTTACACATACACATATATACACACAGAATTTAGATTGAAATTTGCTTTTCATCATTGCTAATTGCATATATTTTGCAGCATGAAATAAAATAATTCTAAATACATACATTTTTGTGTCATTTTTAACAGATGACAATCTGAATGTTTCCTAGCTTGCATTATAAGAGTTGCAATTTTTTCTTCAACTCTGAACTTGTTAAAGGCTGAGACAGAAGACAAGATCAATAACGTTTTGTAATGACTGCTGTGTAGTTCCATAATCTGAATTCTGATAGTTGGTGAAAAAAGGAATGAGGCTGCAGCATTACAGGCATGGAAGAGCAGCGACCTCGTGAGGTAAAACCAAGTATTGCACTCAGGTACTTCATGAAATTTTTAAATTTTTTATTTATTATTATTATTATTATTATTATTATCTTTCTTGTTGGAAGTATTACAAATGTCACCCTTTTTTCCCCATTGACTCTCCCTCCTCTCCCTCCCGCCCCCTCTCAGGCCTCTCAGGCCTTCACCGAACTATTGTCTGTTCTTGATGTTTGCAGATTACAAAGGATATCTAAAAGCACACTGGGTTCAGAGTCAACCACTGAGTATTTACTGTGGGTTACACAAATTTACATACATGTTATTTCGATATATTTTACTTTTAGGTTGACACAGAATATGCTGGCTGGTTGTGGGGCGGGGGGCAAGAGTTACAAGCATTATTTTGATGTATAATGCCCTTGAAAACTGACATACAGACAATAACCTTGAGTTGTGGTTTTATTGTTTTTGTTTGTTTGTTTGTGTTTTGTTGTTGTTAATCCACATCTGAGGATATTTTTCTCAGATGATCTTTTTAGAGAGAGTGGAAAAGAGAGGTAAAGACAGAGAGAAACATCGATGTGAGAGAAACACATCGACTGGTTGCCTCCCACACGCCCCTGACCAGTGCCTGGGCTGGGGAGGAGCCTGCAACCAAGGTACATGCCCTTGACCTGAATTGAACCCGGGACACTTTGGTTCACAGGCCAATGCTGTATCCATTAAGCCAAACTGGCTAGGGCTATTGTTTTTTAATCTGACTAGCTATCAATTACATTAATGTAGGTAGAGCAAAAACTAGAGAAAACATTAGGCCACCGTGGAGAAATATTAAAGCAAAAACTCCCTCAGTTATTTTATATTTTGTAGATTTTGCTGGGTCAGTATTTTTCTTTTAATGAACATTCTACCAATTTTCCTAATTACAAAGAATGGAAGAAAACAAACGTCCATAGTACGTCTCCCGCCTAAGGAAACAGTGTCAAAGATGCTGTAATTTCTTAGTCCCCTGACATGTTTATTTAGGATCCTAAATAGGTTTCCTTTCTCACCAGTTCCTTCCTCCAGCAATTCAATACTTTAGAGCCAATGATCTTAATGCCCTGTCACATTTTTTGCTGATTAAAATTTATGAAGAGCTTAAAGGGGACTTTTATCTGCATTAATATGTGTTCAGATGTACTGTGAGGTTCTTTTCATTTGAAGGTCATTTCAATGGTTTGTTAAAGCAATGTGCCCAATGATACATCAAGAGAAAAGGCTAACCTGAAATTATATGACTGTATGTTTTCTAATAATTTTCCAAATTACTAAGTGAACCAAAGCCCTTATTTTAAATAAAACACCTAATTATGACTTTCCAGTATTTCTTCAAGATGTTTTCTTTATGCTATCAGATTGAAGATTCCCTTTTACTCCAGTGTGTTCTCTGTAGAAGACAATCATCACAGCATCTTAAGCCTCCCTGAAGGCTAGGGGTATAGTCCTCATTAACCCTGCTGAACTGTTTCATTTTCTGATGAACTCTGAACTACTGGACAGCTAGAGATAGCATTACTGAGAGATATCTACTAGTATCCTATTTAACTTGTATAAGAAATACTATACTTTATTTTTTTAGATATAGTTTTATTTATTTCAAAGAGGAAGGTAGAGGGAGAGACACATATAAACATCAATGAAAGAGAATCATTGATCGGCTGCCTCCTGCATGCCCCCCTACTGAGGATTGAGCCTGCAACCCGGGAATGTGCCCTGACCAGAAGCAAACCGTGACCTTCTAGTTCATAGGTTGATGCTCAACCACTGAGCCATGCCAACTGGGCAAGGAATATTATACTTTAAATGGTAAATTGAGCCTGACTGGTATGGATCACTGGTTGAGGTTTGACCCATGAACCAGGAAGTCATGGTTCTATTCCTGGTCAGGGAACATGCCCCAGTAGGGGGTGCACAGGAGGCAGCTGATCAATGATTCTCACCATTAATGTTTCTGTCCCTCTCTCCGTCTCCCTTCCACTCTCTAAAATCAAGAAAAACATAAAAAATGGCAAATTGATTTCAATGGATTACTGTGTATTATAAACAAGATATTATCTCTTCAATATTTATTAGCAAAGTAACATATTTAAAATTCATCAGTTTTATTAGTCACAAAAAATACACAGTACAAACAGAAATATTTTTAGTATTTGATATCTACAGTGAGAGCTTTAGTCATGGGGACAACAACAGTTAATATATAGTAGGTGCACTGTGCTAGATGCGTTGCACAAATTATCTTGGGGGTCAGTGAGCTCTTTCTATAATAGGGGTCTAATAGTAAATATGTTACCTAGCTGAGTGGGTCACACAGTTTCTGTTGTAATTACTCAACTCTGCTCTTACATTAAAAAAAAAAAGCCGTAAGTGAATAAGCTTGGCTGTGTTCCAAAGAATCTTAATTTATGGTCTATGAAATGTGAATTTCATATAATTTTCACATGTCACAAAATATTATTTTATTTTTATTGTTATTATTTTTTAATCCTCACCCAAGGATATTTTTCCATTGATTTTTAGAGTAGAAGAGAGAGGGAAAGCCAGAGAGAAATATCGACGTGAGAGAAACACATCAATTGGTTGCCTCCTGCACGTGCCCTGACCAGATCCCAGGCAGGGGAGGAGCCTGCAACTGAGGTGCATGCCCTTGACCGGAATTGAACCGGGGACCCTTCGGTCTGCAGGAAACTGGCTAGGGCACAAAATATTATTCTTAGAAATATTTTTAAAAGACCACTGAGAAGTGGAATTCTTAGTTCACAGGCCATACAAAAACAGAAAGCAAGTTGAATTTGGCACAGGCCCATAGTTTTGCTGAACTCTGCATTATCTCATCAGGTTGGGGGAGGAGGGTGTTCCTAAATGAACAGATAATATGGTAAGTATACTGTCAAGCCAGTGGGAAAGTTTTCTCTCTAGCTTTGTTCCCCACCCTATATCCCTCACTTTCTGCTAGCCAGTGGTTCTCAACCTTCCTAATGCCTCGACCCTTTAATACAGTTCCTCATGTTGTGGCGACCCCCCAACCATAAAATTGCTACTTCATAACTGTAATTTCGCTACTGTTATGAATCGTAATGTAAATATCTGATATGCAGGATGTATTTTCATTGTTCGCGACCCACAGGTTGAGAACCGGGGTCAGCTACCCGGAGAGGAATAGGAGACCACTAGGGCTTCATTCAGGCTAAGAGCAGCCCCTAAATGTCTAGACTCCGACAAACGCGTTTAAGAACTGCTATCGGCTACAAGGGTATACCACTGATCTTGAGGGTCTAAGCTGGAGTGCTGTCACCAAGTCGGGTTTGCATAGCTCAAGCTTCCTGCAGTGTGACCCAGAGGCAGAGCGACAGGTTGCTGCAGCGACCCAGGGAAGAGACAATGAATGGCGACCTCAACCGGACTGGCAGAAGGGGACGGGCACAGACGGGAGAGGAGTTTGGGATCAGGTACGCATTAGGGTGAGGACTGGTTGCATTGTCCTTTATCTGTCTCACAGGGTAAAAGAGATTGATGACACTTGTATAACTTTCATGTAATTAAAAATTTTACAAAAATGATTTAAAAATAAACAAATATATCAGTAATAAAAATAATTTTAAAACTACCTAAATTTAGCACTTTCTTAAGTTCGTTATTCATAACCATTTTTAACATTACAGAATCCTACCTCTGATTGACTGATTCCCCCACCCCAAAGTGGAGCATAACGTCTTTATTATTTCAGCATAAAAGTTAGTTGAAAATACTCTTTCTGAAAACAGAAAACACCTGCATCGCCACACTCCCAAACCGAAAATCACCGCGTGGAGACACTTTCCCCAGTTTCCAGTCCTTTTCCAGAAGTTCACCTGGCGGCAGCGAGTTCCCACGGCCCTTCCGCGCCCAGCAACACCCACGGATCCGCCCCTACACGATTCTCCTCCTCGTCCGGCTCCCACCGCCGCCGTCTCCCGCCTACTGGGGTAGCTCCGCCCCCTTCAACTCCGCGGTCCAATGCCTGCTCTCCTTTGGTCGCTTTCCTTCTCCCCGCCCCGACGGCTGCCTCCGATTGGCTAAAGTGACAGGGCCACGACAGGATGCCCCAGAGCCCAGTTATGATTGGCTGAAGGATAGCCGGGCCTCTCCTGATTGGCTGGAAAGAGCAGACAGCAAGTGTGACTGCGCACCGGGTGTGTGGACGCCGCTTTGTTGCCTGAGGGGGGTGGCGGTGGAAGTTAAGGGGGTCAGAGGCGAGCGCTGCTCAGGACCCGCGATCGCCGTCGCTGCAATCACGTCGCCCGGTAGCCTTCCGCGTGGGAATCGCACCGACAGCAGCCATGAGCGGCGGCGTGTACGGCGGAGGTGAGTGAGCGCGGCCGGACCTCTGCGCGCCGTTTCAGTGCGTGGGGTTTGTAACCGCCGGCCCCAGCCCTCCCGCCCCTCCCGGCGGTCCCTTCCGGCCTCCGGGTCTCGGGACTCCCCCCGCCCCCGCCCCCGCCCCATCCCATTACGCAATGTCTTTCGTCTGTGTGCTTGGGGACTTCATGGCAGATCCCTTTATGTACATACTGATAGCCTATGACTTAGCTCACTTTCCTCTTCAGGATGCATAATGCCAAGATGTGAGCTCCCATGCACTGGAATGTCCTGCATTACTATGGAGAAAACTCTGGTTCCCCAAAACTCCTTAGGCCAGGTGTTTTGGGGACATCTCAGGGAAGTATAGTCCATGCTTCTCATTCTACGACCCTATCTAGAGGCCACTCTACTCTCTCTTGGGGAACCCAAAAAGGCTGCATCCCGTATCGATGCTATCACTATGGATGGGCAATGTGACCTTATGATTAGCCTTTTTGTTGAGCTCGACTGCATGGCTGGTTCTTTCGGTGGACTATAGTCCTTTAAGTGCCTAGAACCTGGAAGGGTGCTTGACTCCCAGATCTCCAAGTTGCCCTGAGAAGCTTTTCCTGGGATCCCAACTTCAGGGCTTCTACTTGAATTTCCAAAGAAGCCTTGAATTTTTCTTGAGG